ATACAAGTGAGAGCTGCTAACTCAGGTCACCCAGCCAGCAGGATCCTCCTGCCACATGCCTATAGTGTTTTCCAGAGTGAGGAAGTCCAAGGTTCTTTCTCTCCCTCCCTTGATGTGGGAGGGCTGGGCCATGACGTTCCTCTGTCTGGGGGAGGGGTTAAGGGGTAGCAGCTATGGCCTTGTGGGACATCCAGGGGTGGAAGCAGGGTCTGCAAGTGGCCTGTGAGTCTTCTCACATCCTAGACAGGAGATAAAAGGCCTGAGAGGAGGCAGTGAGGTGGAGAGAGGCGAAGCCAGGGAACTTCCAGATCCCCTCTGCATCCTGGACAATCATCCTGACCCCAACAAAGAAGAAGGAAGGGAGAACATAGGGGCAGTAGAGGGGGCACCTCAGCTCTGCACCTCCCTAAGCCATATTAATTCCCTTTATCTGGAAATAACTGTGTTAAGTGCTAGTGTCCACAGGTCCCTCCAAAAAGGCCACTTCTCTTCCCCTGACCTCTTGACTTGGAGGAAGAGGAACAGCTAGGCCTGTTAGAGAGTGGCCCTAGGACTGGACAGACAGGACTGGGCATGAGAGTAAGGGCACTGAACAAGCCTCTGGCTTCGGGCCTTGGCCCCTGGGCATAGAAGGGGAGCTGGCAGGGGAGGGGAGATTCCAGCACCACTTAGAGCAGATTGAAGTCAAAGGGCCAGGGGGCAGGAAACTTAGCCCTGGGGCAGGAGGGGCCCACACTGATCGTCCCTTCACTTGGCATATGGGTGTCCCACTCTGGTGAGATCAGACTAGTCCTGCTCTCCTACAGCAGACATAAGACAAAGGATCAAACACACTGCAGAGAGCTTTCACTCTTACTGGGGACTCTCAACTCATGGGGACAAGATTTGAGACAGTTTAATTTTTCTAGGCTCTGCCAGATGGAGCCCCTTTCCCATGGGAAGAGGCTGCTGCCTTCTCCACATTGGGCCAGATTCTAGGCCTTCTCCATCCCCTAGGCTAGAATCTTGTCTTCCTGGCCATTGTTCATGGAAATTCCAGTCTCTGGCTGGGCCTGGTGACTCACACCTGTAATCCCAGCACTTTGGGAGGGTTACTGGAGGATTGCTTGAGGCCAAGAGTTGGAACCTGAGGCTGCAGCAAGCTGTGAAGCCACTGCATTCCAGCCTGGGCAGCACAACCAGACCTTGTCTGCAAAAACAAACAACAAACAAAAAGAAGCTCCAGTCTCTCTCTTTTCTCCCCTCCCTTTGCCAAAGATCAGAAGCCCTAGACTCTACAGCCTATAGGAACAGGCTCTTGGGTGTTGGGGTAGGGACAGAGGAAGCGACACTGAGCTATTGACTTGCTTGGAGGGAGTCCCCAAAACGATAGCCACTGCCCTACTGCTGCTCAGAGCTTGGCACAAACAGCACCAGAAGCCCCAGCTGCTGCCAACGGAGGGCTCACTCAGGGAGGCTCCTTGGGCACAGGGCCGGCGCTCAGCAAGGCCTCGTACTTGGTATAATGTTCTGCCGTTGCTATTTAACATTCTTAATAATTTGGGCTTTCTATAATTTCAATTAATTTTTTTTCAGAATTATGGAGAAAAGGAAATATTTTTAATAATTATTGAACAAGGGGACCCACATTTTAATTTTGCCCTGGGACCCCAGCAAATTATGCTACCAGTCCTGCCTGCCTGACTTGTGTGTGGAAGCCATATACAGCCAGTGCACACTCTGCGGTACTTTGCCCCTCACACTTCAGGGGTCTCTGAAAGCCTAAAGTCACTGGACTCATCCACTCAGGCCTGTAGCACATGCAGGATCCCAGATTCATCTGCTGATTCTTAGAGACCAGGAGCCACACAGCAGGGCTGTGGAGCCCCTCCCCACTCAGCAGTCTCCCACATCATCACTGTGGAAGTTCCTGGGTCAGTCCTCTGGCTAAGCTGACCTCCAACTGGGCATGGAAATGTGAGCCTTTCCCTCTGGCACCTGCCTATCCCTGATCCAGGAATTTCTTGATTGCTCCTGAGCTCATAGTCCTCCTTCCCAGCCCTGCTGGGGGAAATAGGTCTGCACCTATTTTCCCCCTTTTGTTTTCTTTTTTGCTTGGGGGTGGGAGCTGGGAGGAATGGCACAGATTCTGAGCCAGGTACCTCACTGGGAGAGACCTGGGGCCTGCTGCTGGTGCCCACTTAACTAGACAGTGGAACACTAAGCCCCGTCCACCAGGCAGGAACCCCCTTCAATGACCTGCAACACAGAAATGATTGCTCTGAAGAATACAAGAGGGTTATGCGACAAGAGGAGCTACAGGGACAGCAGCCTAGAAGGCCTCTGTGTCACATTTCAATGGGAAACAGACAAGAAACAAGTGCAGGAATAAGTAATAATAAATAAAATTATTTGTGCTGCAGGGGCTCACACCTGTAATCCCAGCACTCTGGTAGGCTGAGGACAGTGGATCACTTGAGCTCAGGAGTCTGAGACCAGCCTGAGCAAAAGCCAGATCCCATCTCTACTAAAAGTAGGAAAAACTAGCCGGGTGTTGTGACGGGTACCTATAGTCCCAGCTACTCAGAAGACTGAGACAAGAGGATCACCTGAGCCCATGAGTTTGAGGTTGCTGTGAACTAGGCTGATGCCACTAGCCTGGGTAACAGAGTGAGACTGTCTCAAAAGTAAAATGAAATGAAAATAAATAAAATAAAATAATAAATAAACAAAATAGGAATGGTACCATGGCTGTAATCCTAGCACTTTGGGAGGCTGAGGAGTACAGGAGACTGAGATCAGCCTGAACAACATAATGAGACCCCTGTTGCGACAAAAAATAAAAATTAGCCAGGCATAGTGGTATGAGCCCATAGACCCAGCTGCTGTAGAGGCTGAGGGAGGATCAGCTGAGTTTAGACATATAAGGCTGCTACTTTGAGCTCTGCACCACTGCACTCCAGCCTGGGTGACAAAGTAAGACAGTGTCTCCAAATAATTATAACAATAATTTCTTGAGACATAGATTTAGATGTGGTTCTCAAGAAATGACCCATCTAAGTGGATGAAATTGACTTGGGTGGGGTGTACACAGAGAAGAAGAGAGGGCTCGTGACCAGGCTGTGGGGACAGGAAGTCAGCAGGAGAACCAGAGAGCTGTGGGACCAGGTTTGAGCAGAATTGTAATCCATACTGTAAGGCTTCTCATTTTTCTTTGGCAGTGGCTGGGCTATCATCTTGAGGTGAGTTGGTGCAGAAGGGACAGGAAGTAGAGACAGCAGCTCTGGTCTGGTTGCTCGTCTTGCCACTCTGAAGACATGGAGGCAGCAGAGAAGTGGGGAACAGCAATGCTCTGGCCTGGCAGGTTCCAAGCAGTGAGAACTCAAGTGTCCTGAGAAGGATGCTTCCTGCCATCCTTCTCCAGGAATTCCCAGAGGGAAGTATTCACAGAACTGTGGCGTGGGGGCTTGGCTCCAGGCCTTTATCCCCTAGGCCTGGCTGCAAGAACCCGTGGGCTGGAAGCTCAGGGATAGGTGGAAGCTGTCGGCCTCTCCCCCGGAGGACTATGAGGCTGGGTCCTCTGTTGTGATGGCTGTTTCTTGGAACCACAGATAATCTTCCCTCTAACACATTCTCAAACCTCTGTTTGTCCTTCATATTGATGTTGTGTTGAGCTAACAACCTCTCTGCCAAGAATTTGGAGATTCTTTGGATCATTCTCTGATGAATATGAGTAGTTTCTGACTTCATAACATTCACTCACAACAACGCATACACAGACAAATTAGGCCAGGCTGTAATCTCAGTACGTTGAGAGGCCAAGGCAGGAGGATCACTTAAGGCCAGGAGCTTGAGACCAGCCTGGGCAACATATTGAGATCCTCATTGCTACAAAAAATAAAAATTTTTCTTGGCATTCTTGAATCAGAGGTCTTGCCTTTATAAAGTGCAATGTGGCTGGGAAGTGGTGTGCTTGTGAGTGGCGGACAACTGGGTTTCCAGGGGAAAAGAGCCAGAGGGCTCATAGCATTTGCTGATTCCTGTGATATAAATACTGCCACCAAAGTGGAACTAAGGTCGCCAGCATGAATTGGAGTGTCAGAGTACTTTTTGGGCCCCAGAGCATTCTGCAGGGCAGAAGGGCACCCCCTGCCCCAGGTGGTAACTTGAGCCAAGGAGAACTGCCTGTTTGTAGCCCTGCCTATCAGACTCTAGAAGACTCCCTCCTGCCAGATCAGGGTCATGGCAACTGAGAACAATGCCGGACAGGCCGAGCTGGCACTGTGCGGGGATGGGGGGTCTGGGAGAGCGTCAGAAGCTGCTGGGGCCTGTCCTCTACGAACTGGGCCACTGTGGGCCTTTCATCTCACGCCTTCCTCCCTGCGCCATTCCAGCGTCTGCCTGCCTTGGCCTCTTCCCACTCCACCACCCCCAGTGCGGCAATTACGCCGATAATTAGGCTGCTTTGATCATCCTTAGAAATGGCCACACTGGGGAGGGCCGCTGCCAAGCAATTAGGGGCAGAGGGGCGGGGAGCTCAAGGGCTTCCTCAGGGGGTGGGGCGCTGAGAAATCCTAGACACCCCCACGCTCCTCCCTCCAGGAGTGTCTGCACCCAGCACAGCGGTAAACTCCTGGGGGTAGAGGCAGATGAGAATACCCACCATCCCAGCCCCAGAGACAGGACCCGCCCCTGCCCACCAGCCCCCCTCTGTCTGGCCCTCGGCCCAACCGTCAGCTCTTCTCCCCTGTCTTGGCCCCTTTGATGGAGCCGCAGAAACAAGGGCTCCTTTGACAGAAGGGGGGCTCAGAGCTGGGATGATGAGACTTCAAAGGTGAGGGTCAAGCCCACTACTCCATTCCCTCCCCCAATCCTGGCCACCCTCCCATGCACACCTCCCCCCAGGCTGTCCTCTATATAGCCCCCACAGCCCTAGTCCCCTGTGGGCTCCTAGGAGTTAAGAGCCAGGTGAGGGCCAGACTAAGAGAGGCAGATAATTTTGATGTAAGAGAACAGGATCAGATGGTTTGAGGGACAAGAATTCAGTGCCCAGGGGCAGAAAGGCAGTGGGAAGCGGGCACTGAAGGATACGCGCCTGGAAGGTGGACCCTGAGACGCAAAGAGGACGTGGTCTCTCGCTCCAACTCTTGGTCACCATGCTGCTGGCTGTGTTGCTGCTGCTGCTGCCCCTCCCAGACTCGTGGTCTGCCTATGGACACCCACTGTACATGCGCCTGCCCCCCAGCATCCTGCAAGGTAAGTCCCGGCTGGTCTGAGGGAGCGGCTGAGGCAGGAGGGGCATAGGGAAGTGAGGCCCAGGTAGGCAAGGTGGAGGAAGACAGGCTTGTCATCCCACTCAAAGGGCCTTTGACCACTTTTGCCCACCCTGATGGAGAAGAAGCATGAACTGAGACATAGGTAGGGAAGGAAGAAAAAAGATGAGGCTGGAAATCTGAGCTGGCGAGTACTGCCAAAGAGTACTTAGAGAAAGTTCCAGGCTTGGCAGGGAGAGAAAGGCCTGGAGCAGCATACTCAGGGCTGTCTGGGGCCCAAGGTGGGTGACCTAACCACAGGTACTTTAAGTCAGTAAGCCTGAGTTCTGTGATGTCTGTATCTTTGTGGTGGGTTTTTTTCTTTTATATTTTTAAGGAAAGGCACTTTTCAAAGATTCCAGTCCAGCTCATTTTAATTATGGAGATATCTTGGGCTGAGACTCTGGGTCCATCTGCTTTGAGTGCTGCCCTGGGCCCCAGGGCTCACCCTCTTCATCATGCCGCCCTAGTGCTCAAGGAGCCAGTCTCATTTCCCAGGGTCTGGGCCACCAGAATTGGACCTGAGGCTCTTCCCTGACCACGCATGATTTTGTGCCTTATGTCCCAGCAGTTTTGTCCACCCAAGGGACACAGGCGTTGCAGGCAGCCCAGAGGAGCGCCCAGTGGGCTGTTAACCGAGTGGTGATGGAGATCCAGCACAGAGCGCACGAGTGCCAAGGTTGTGCCCACTGCCTCCCAATCCCCATGAACAAGCACTTGTCACACTGGGCCCATTCTCCTGTCTTTCCCCATCCCTATGCCTTCCCTTGGGACTTAAGTCCCCTCCTGGGGGCAGAGACTGAGTGGGGCTGCGAGGAAGACTTTTATTAAGGTCTGTCCAAGTGGCAAGGGCATGCCAGGCTGGGGCGCAGTTGTGCAAAGGCAGCCTGGGCTCCTGATGTGAATGATGAGACGTTCTCGGCTTTAGAAATAGAACCTGTGAGCTAGAGGGTGGGGACAGGAGAATGGTAGCGGGGACAGGGCGCTTAGGCCCAGCCTAGTGCGGAGGACAGGCAAGAGGATGGCAGTGAGACTCAAAAGGTCTGTTTCTCAGCAGGACCTGGGCGATCCAGGCCTCAAGCACCTCTCCTCCAGGACCCACCTGAGCCAGGTGAGGCTGAAAAAGCTCCAGGGGTAGGGTTGAGGACCAGGTAGACCTCCATGGTAAGGATGGCCAGAACTTGTCCTTGGTGACACCGCTTGCGCCTTTCTAGGGCCATGTGGCGAGAGGCGCCCTAGCACTGCCAATGTGACTCGCGCTCACGGCCGCATAGTCGGGGGCAGCACGGCACCGCCGGGGGCCTGGCCCTGGCTGGTGAGGCTGCAGCTCGGCGGGCAACCTCTGTGCGGCGGCGTTCTGGTGGCAGCGTCCTGGGTGCTCACGGCAGCGCACTGCTTTGTGGGGTATGTCGGCCCTCGGACCCCTGCTTAGCCCGGGTCCCCAACGCCAGGTCCAGAGCCTGCCCAGTTGTCTGCGGCAGACGCCGGGGAGAGCCGGTCTCTGCCGCCCCCTGGCGGCAGCCTGCACAGGGCTTCCCGGCCTCCAGGAGCATGCAGAGGTGGCACTGCGCGGGGCATTCGCCTCAAGGGGACAATAAGTGTACCCCGCCAGCCTGCCCTACTCCCAAGTGGACGAAGCCCGGCATGCGGGCTTGCTAGGTGGTGCCCGAGGCCGGAGGGGTGGAGAAGCCCGAGGGAGTCGTTGCGCACCTGTCCTTCCTGCGTTTTCACTCGCCGCTCGCCCCCCGCAGCGCCCCAAATGAGCTTCTGTGGACTGTGACCCTAGCCGAGGGGCCCCGAGGAGAGCAAGCTGAAGAAGTGCCAGTGAACCGCATCCTGCCCCATCCCAAGGTGAGAGGACAGTCCCCAGGTCCTCAGAGCTGGGAACAGCATCCCCACCACACATCTCGTTGACACTGCGCCGCCACCCCCTCCTCAGTTTGACCCGAGAACCTTCCACAACGACCTGGCCCTGGTGCAGCTGTGGACGCCAGTGAGTCCGGCAGGACCGGCGCGCCCCGTGTGCCTACCCCAGGAGCCCCAGGAGCCCCCCGCCGGCACGGCCTGCGCCATCGCGGGTTGGGGGGCCCTTTTTGAAGGTAGTGGACAGAGCCTGGGTGAGCCACATGTGGGAAGAATGGGGCAACGGAGGTTGGGAAGGTCCAGCTGCCTTTGCAAAATGTTGCAGGATCTTGCAAAGGGGCAAGAATCAAGGAAGGCAGTGGGAAGGGAACGCCACAGGGCGCCACAGGGCCTACTACTGCCTTCCAAACCTAAGCCCCTTCTACCCCTTCCCTGCAGATGGGCCTGAGGCTGAGGCAGTGAGGGAAGCCAGAGTGCCCCTGCTCAGTCGGGACACCTGCCAAAGGGCCCTGGGGCCTGCACTGCGCCCCAGCACAATGCTCTGTGCTGGTTACCTGGCGGGAGGCATTGACTCGTGCCAGGTATGAACCCACATTGATTGAAGGGGGTGTTGGCAGCTAAGCTGCACCTCACAAGCAGGATGGCTCCTTTCCTTAGGCCTGGCTGTCACTTAACTTCTCTGAGCCTCTAATATTGAAACAAGTGTTAACTAAGCGCCAGCTCCCAGCAGCAACATAACTGGGGAGAGGTGAATGCAGTGTCCTCACTTTTGGCCCTGCAGGGTGACTCTGGAGGCCCCTTGACCTGTTCTGAGCCTGGCCCTCGCACCAAGGAGGTCCTGTTTGGAGTCACCTCCTGGGGGGATGGCTGTGGGGAACCAGGGAAGCCAGGGGTCTACACTCGAGTGGCAGTGTTCAAGGACTGGCTCCAGGAACAGATGGGCGGTAAGCACTCCCTCCCTATCCTCCCTGCCCTGGAGTGTCCCCGCGGATAGCCGTGAGACAATCCCATTTTCACTGGGCCCACCCCCAGCTTCCTCCTGCTTCAGAAAAGCCTTTCTTCCTTTGGGAAGGGCGGCAGGGTCTAGGGCCCAAAACAGGGGGTAAGCTGGCCCCTGCCCCGCCTGCAGCAGTCTCCTCCAGTCGCGAGCCCAGCTGTAGGGAGCTTCTGGCCTGGGATCCGCCCGAGGAGCTGCCAGCAGAAGCCGCTCAGCTCTGCGCCTTCTACGCGCGCCTGTGCCGTGGGTCCGAGGATGCCTGTGCGCGCCTGGCGCACCAGCAGTGCCTGCAGCGCCGACGACGATGTGGTCAGTGCTGTTCCCTGGGGCATGGACATGGGGCAGTGGGCCTAGGCCCACCTCTGACCACCACTCCTATCCTTGTCCCGCTCGCAGAGCTGCGCTCGCTGGCGCACACGCTGCTGGGCCTGCTGCGGAACGCCCAGGAGCTGCTCGGCCCGCGCCCGGGGCTGCGGCGTCTGGCCCCTTCTCTGGCTCACCCCGCTCCTTCGCTCCGGGAGTCTCGAGGGCACCTCGCCCGCGAGCTGTGGCTGCACTCAGGTACCCCGCGCCCTCCAGCCCAGCCCAGTCCCCTCCGGGTCCCGCCTGACCCCACCCTGCAAAGCCGAGTCAGTTTTCTCTAACCCTGCTTTCCCAGGACCGCGGGCTTCCGGCATACGGTTCCAGAAGCCGAGGCCAGAGCAGCGTGGGGAAGCCAACGGTAACACCCCCAGGGACCTTCGGGAGGGAAGTAAGCTCAGAGCCGGGCAAAGCCAGGAGGGGCTTCCCAGGGTTCGAAGCACTTATCCCACCGGGCGACAGGGCAGACCCACTCTCCTCCTCCCCGAATAAAGCAGAGGATTCTTTACTGGGACTTGTGACTTTGGGCTCTCATCAGTGTCAGACCGAAATACCCTGCCTGGTGTTACGGCTTAACTTCTCTGAGAGCCCATCTGTTACATGAGGAGGATAAGTCTCCCTTAGGAGCTGTTCTGAAGTCCCCGGTTCCCACAGAGGTTATTTCTCTGTTACTCCCCTTCCTGCAGGCTGCCCTGGGCTGGAGCCTCTGAGACAGAAGTTGGCTGCCCTTCAGGGTGCCCATGCCTGGATCCTACAGGTTCCCTCAGAGCACCTGGCTATGAACTTTCATGAGGTGGGTCCCCAGGCTTCCCCAGACTGCTTCACAGTGGCCTGGGAAGGCTGACCTGGCTGGAGCTCAGGCCAGAGAAGGTGCAGAATGTCTAGCCCTGTTGGGTAGGGGAGAGAAGGGGTACCCACCCCATAGCTGGAGGGAGGATCTCCCCGCCCCAGCCTGGAGTTGCCCCTGCCCCAGCTCGGGGGTGGAGGTGGAAGGCTCAGGAGGATCAGGAGGAGGGAGAGGGAGGATGGACGCCTGCCTGTAAGCTGGACCACTAAGGGGATGTGGGAGGCAGGTATGAGTAGAGGGTCTGGAGGGGTCAGATTTAGGCAAAGGGGAGGGAAATGGGTCTAGGTGGGAGTTTCTGGAGTCCAGGAAGAGAGGAGTATCTTTCTGGGCTCTTGACCCTCTCTCTTCCCTCTGTAGGTCCTGGCAGATCTGGGCTCCAAGACACTGACCGGGCTATTCAGAGCCTGGGTGCGGGCAGGCTTGGGGGGCCGATATGTGGTCTTCAGTGGCCTGGTGGGCCTGGAGCCGGCCACACTGGCTCGCAGCCTCCCTCGGCTGCTGGTACAAGCCCTACAGTCCTTCCGCTTGGCCTCCCTGGCAGAAGGAGAAACTGAGGGACCCCAGATAGCTGTAGGGCAGGGGTTGGGGAGGAAGGGGCACCATCCCCTGAGCCCTCGGATCCCCCCAGCCAAGCAACCATGAGCCCCTGGGCCCTGGTGAGGACTTCCCGCTCCCACAGGCTGCGAGGGGTTAAGAAAACACAATGACATACTGTCACTGCCACAGTGGGCTGGGTGTGTATGGGTGGGTGGGGTGTCCTGGGCCCATTTGTCTTCCCAGGTCTGCAATCAGATAATCACAGCTGCTTTAATAAATGTTATTTATAATCCATGGAAACAACCTTGGAGCTTTCTTGGGATGGGGCCCAGTGGGTGGACATTTGATCTCAAGAGTGGGGCCCAGGCAGGGCCCAGCGTCCGGAAGCAGTTGGCAGTGGTCACAGAGAAGCCAGAGAGAGAATGCAAAGCCCCATCTGAGCATATCTCTGCCTCCCAAGAAGTGGCAGCAGCTGGCCTGTCTGTCAACCTCCCATCCACGGCTGACCAGTGTCCAGTATCTCTCTATCCAACCCCCACCCTCAGCACTAGCTGGGGAGAGTCCCAGCCTGGGATCTTTGCTTCCAGTCCTTGGGCTCCTGCCCTGAGGTGTCGGGCTGTGTTTCCGGCTAGACTTCCCTTTGTCCCCACCCCTACCCCGCACCTGTCTACTCTCCCGCCCACACGCATTCCACAGCCCTGTAGATAGGAGGGGCAGATGTTAAGGCCCAGTCAGAGAGAGAGAATGGAGAGGCCTGTGCTGACACTGGGGCTGCTGGCCATCCTGGTCGTGTGTGGTAAGGGTAGATAGACATCATCCCCACCCTAAGGGTCCCTCATGACTCCCACACGGGCCCCACACTGCATGGTCCCCTCTAGCTCCCTCCTACATGGGGAGACCCATGAACCTCCCCAGAACCTCCCCACTCCCTCTCTGCCATTTCTCCCCATGAGGGGACAACCTCTGGGGTCCCATGCCCAGGGAGTGGTTGGATACCTCTGCTAGGCCCAACCCCATGGTCCGGCAGACCCTCAGGGCAGCTTCCTTCCTGGGCCTCCCACCCAGTGTCCCAGTCCCTCCCTGACCCTTCCTGGCCCTTCCCAGGCAGCTGGGGCCTGAACGAGGAGCAGCGGCTAATCCATCACTTGTTCCAAGAGAAAGGCTACGACAAGGCGCTCCGACCTGTGGCGAACAAAGAGGAGCGTGTGAATGTGACCCTGGCCCTCACCCTCTCGAACCTCCTCTCCCTGGTGAGAGGCCCTTCTCATGGCTGGGCTGGGAGGGGAGGGCAGGGGTGACTTCCCAGGACCCAAAACTGGTCTATGGTAGCTCCCTGCCCAGGAAATGGGCTTTGGGGTGCTCTCTGGGGTGTGCGCAGGCCTCCCATGCCATACCATGCCACACCGCATTCATGACATGCTGCAGAGGCCATTGGTCCTCTCTGTGGCCTGTCTGCCCACCCACTCCTAGTCAGGACAGGAGGCTGGTACCCCTGTTGCCATGGTTTCCCCTGGGTGCCAGCTGGGCACGCAGATGAAAGAAGGGCGCTGGCTCTGAAGGATGGACCACCTGTCTGATTACAGAAAGAAGTTGAGGAAACCCTCACCACCAATGTGTGGATAGAGCACGTAAGGAGAATGCCCCACTCAGGGCTGGAGGTGGGGGTTCAGGGCCCAGGCCCCCATGCTTGCTTCCACTTTGGGTCCCTGGTCTGCCTTTGACATTGTCCTTCAGGAGTGGCTGGTTCCTCCCCACAGAGAAACCCCAGGCCCAACTGTCCTTCCTCCCACTTGGTGCCCTTGCTAGCTCTGTTGGCACCTTTAAGTGGATTAGGATTCATCTGTGGAAAAATTGTCACCATCTCCTTTTTCACTAGAAAACATTCTTCAGCCACCTGTCAGAAGTTCATAATATAGACACAAATTTTCTTGTTGCACAGCGAGCATCCTACACGCTATCCCTGCCTCCCCCAAACCTCTTTGGTCACAGCTCCCTGACCCTGTTCAGTCTTTCCCCAGGGAAGTGGGGGAGTGAGGGCACCTGGGCAGTAGCAGAGCCCACTGGTTACATGATTTTTGGGGTTCCAGGGCTGGACAGACAGCCGGCTGAAGTGGGATGCTAATGAATTTGGGAACCTCAGTGTCCTGCGCCTGCCCTCGGACATGCTGTGGCTCCCAGACATTGTGCTGGAGAACAAGTTGAGCTATGTCCTCTCAGGCCTGCCCTCCCTCATTCCGCCCCCTTCCTGAAAGCCCCAGCTCCTCCTCCTGCCTGCCCTTTCTCCTGCCCAGCCCTGCCAGTTCTAAGCTTGTCGTCCTTGTCCCTGCCTCCTAGCAATGACGGCTTCTTCCGGATTTCTTACTACTGCAACGTGCTGGTTGATAATTCAGGCTCTGTGTACTGGCTGCCGCCCGCTATCTTCCGCTCCTCCTGCCCTATCTCTGTCACCTACTTCCCCTTCGACTGGCAGAACTGCTCCCTCAAGTTCAGGTACACCCACTTCTCCAGCCATCTTTCCTCCTCCAGCACGTCTCCAGCCATCTTGCCCCCTCGGGGCAAAATGAGCTGAACAAAGCCCTATCAGGCGAAAGCCCTTGCCCTGTCCCCATTATGGCTCCCCTCCCCCACAGCAGCTGTCCTTCCCACTCAGTGGCCCCAGCTGGTGGCTGAAAGTCACCTTCTGCCTCCCATTCATAGTTCCCTCAAGTACACGGCCAAGGAGATCACCCTGAGCCTGAAGCAGGAAGTCGAAGAGAATCACACCTACCTAGTGGAGTGGATCATCATTGAGCGTGAGAGCTTTACAGGTGCTTAGAGAAGCCGGTGGGTGGGCAGACCCCTCAGACACAAGCCCAGGGACACACACCAACAGCCACCCAAACACCTGCCCCTCAGGGATGCACAGGTGCACACACACACCCAGGACACCAACACTCAGGCACTCACACCTGCAGTAAGACACAGGCAGAGGAGCACACACAGATACTGATGCCCAAAGGCATCCCAAAGACAGGGAGGGACACAGGTGTCACAAGACCCTTCTGGGCTTGGCAGGGGTCCCTGGGGATACATGTGGCTTATAGAAGAGGCAAGTGGTTAGTCTTTTCTGTGCCTGAAGATCCCAGGTGTGTGGTTGGGGTTGTCATCCTGATGGGGTGTATGTCTCCCCTCCCAACATGCTCACCTCCCATCTGTTTTCAGGCTCACATCTTCCATGAGGCTCCCTGCTCACCCCATCCCTCAGAGGGGATGTACACCCTGCTGGTCTCGGCCAGCACCCCTGGCCAGCACCCCCTGCAAGGGGATAGCTTCACTCTCACTGGCTCCTTATCCCCAGGTACAGGCTGGGAGGAGCACTCAATTAATATGGACTTGGCTTTTCTTTTTACTTAGGAAGATGAGCTCAGTAACTGAGAAACTTTCTTTTGCCTTGTCTCTTTAATTTGCACATACCTACTTTTTGCTCATGATTTTTTTTAGATAGGGTTTCATTCTGTTACCTGGGCTGGAGTGCGGTGGCGTCATTGTAGCTCAATGCAGCCTCCAACTCCTGAGCTCAAGTGATATATGCCTGCTTTAGCCTCCCCAATAGCTGGGACCACAGGTATCCACCATCATGCTTGATTTTTCTATTTTCTGTAGAGATGGGGCCTCACTATGTTTCTCAGGTTGGTCTGGAACTCTTGGGCTCAAGCAATCCTCCTACCTTGGCTTCCAGAAGTGTTGGCTTTAGAGGTGTAAGCCACCACCACGCTCAGCCTTCATGATATCTTGGGAGCCAAAACATACTCCTTTTTTAAACCCTATATGGCCTCAACTTCTATTTTTCCCAAAGAGAAAAAAAATCACAGAGGAAAATTTCCCCCATATGAATTGAAATTTCCATCCCAACCCCCAGAGGCAGACACCCACCAACAGGACCTGAACCCTCCTCAGGGCCCCTCCCTCTTTTAGGGCCCCCCCCAATCAAGGCTGGCAGCACCTCTGGTCTGCTGGTTTTGCCCAGCCCCTCGTCCTGTCCCGGGGCCCGCTTAGCACCCCTGGCCTGGCCTGGCCTGACCCCTAGATGTCTGTGTGCTGCCCTCAGAAAACGGGGAGTGGGAGATAGTACACCGGCCAGCCAGGGTCAATGTGGACCCCACCGCCCCTCTGGACAGCCCTGGCCGCCAGGATGTTACCTTCTACCTCATTATTCGCCGCAAGCCACTCTTCTACATCATCAACATCCTGGTGCCCTGTGTGCTCATCTCCTTCATGATCAACCTGGTCTTCTACCTGCCAGCCGACAGTGAGCCTCAACACCCAGCACCCCGCCAGCAGCCTCCTCCAAACTGTGTGCCCAGCCCTGCCCCTCATGTCCTCCTGCAGGCTACCTGAGGGTATTACTCCTGGAGCTCCCTTTCCAGGGTCTAGGCTTAAGAGGGAGAGTGCTATGACCCTGTCTAACATCCGCAAATGCACAGGGCAGGTCCCTCCTGGGTGTAGTTCTGCCTCTCATGACAGGATTTCCAAGGATCCTAGAAGAACCACTAATCTGTTCCTCTGCCCAGAGAGAGTCTGGACCTCATGGTTTCACTCATGGTTACCACTGTGTGACTGTGGGCACGGCACACAGGAGGCCATCCTTTGTTGAGCCAGTCGGTGGATAACAAGGTCTCTAGGAAGGTGGGGTGTGGGGGCAGAAAGCCAGTCTGTGCTCACTTGGCTCCAGGAGGCAACTGATTTATAATTTCAGAATATTTACCTAGGGACAAAGACAACCCAGCCCATGGCCCTAGCAGACAGGGTTGAAACCACAGGACTAGTAGGATGGGGTCCTTCCAGCTACAATGGAGGTGCGGGGGGGGGGGATCCTAGAAGAGGTAGAGCTTGAACTGATGTGAGTTAGACTGGGTGGGGCTGTACCAAAAAGGGGAGTTAGGAGGAGCCCAGTGGGAGAGTGTCCTCACTCCATCTCCATTGTGTACAGGAGCTCCAGTGGAAGAGCAGGACAGCCCTGGGCTTGGGGTTCAGAGGAAGGGCCGGGAATGTGGTGTTTTGCTGGTGCTGTGAGGACACTCTGGAGCTCTCTGAGCAGGGAGTGACATATGCACATCTGTGCCCCAGAGGTGGGCTAATAGTGACAGCTGGTGTGCACTGAGGACTTACGCAGTGCTAGGCAGAGTGCCATGGGTTTAGCACACACTCTCTCACCACATTTAACTGAGAAAACTGAAGCACAGAGAGGTTAGGCTACTTGCCCAATGTCACCCAGCTAGTAAATGACAGAGCCAATATTTGCACCCAGGCACCCTAGCTCCCTGATGATTTTCATCAGGGCACCATGACACTGTGAACAGTGGTGCCAGGGGCCTGGAACACTGTCGTCACAGCTAAGTCTGGCTTCCCCAGGTGGTGAGAAGACATCAATGGCCATCTCAGTGCTCCTGGCCCAGTCTGTCTTCCTGCTGCTCATTTCCAAGCGGCTGCCTGCTACATCCATAGCCATCCCTCTTATTGGCAAGTGAGTGCCATCCACACTCAGCCCTGCCTGCTCTCTTGGCCTGGCCCTGGAGGCTCCAGCCTTACTATGTGCCCACAGGTTCCTGCTCTTTGGCATGGTGCTGGTCGCCATGGTCGTGGTGATCTGTGTCATCGTGCTCAACATCCACTTCCGCACACCCAGCACCCACGTGCTCTCTGAGGGGGTCAGGAAGGTAAGTGCCCTCAATGGGCAAAAGCTAGACATTGTCCAAGGCCATTTGCAGACCAGGTAAAGATGGATGAGCACCCAGCATGCAGAGGCACACCTGGTACAGGTGAGCCCTCCTGGCCACTGCAGGGCCAGCTGACCATTACGGGCTAGCTGAAGGTAGTTCAGCAATTCTTTCAGCATTTGAAGGGAGAACTCTCAGTATTTGAGACATTTGTCTTATTTTTTGTTTTTAGTATTCCTTGTCTTTTTTTCTTTCTTTCCTTTTTTTTTGAGACAGTCTCAATCTGTCACCCTGGGTAGAGTGCCGTGACATCATAGCTCACAGCAACTTCAAACTCTTGGGTTTAAGCAATCCTCTTGCCTCAGCCTCCCAAGTAGCTGGGACTACAGGCATGTGCCTCCATCCCTGGCTAGTCTTTACATTTTTATTTTATTTATTTATTTATTTATTTTTGCAACAGAGTCTCACTCTGTCATCCTGGGTAGAGTGCTGTGGCATCACAGCTTACAGCAACCTCCAACTCTTGGACTCAAGCGATTCTCCTGCTTCCGCCTCCCAAGTAGCTGGGATTACAGGCGCCTGCCACAATGCCTGGCTATTTTTTTTTTGGTTGCAGCCATCATTGTTGTTTGGGAGGCCCAGGCTGGATTCGAACCTTCCAGCTCAGGTGTATGTGGCCGGTGCCTTAGCTGCTTGAGCCACAGGCGCTGAGCCTACATTCTTAGTAGAGACAGGGTCTCACTCTTGCTCAAGCTAGTCTTAAACTCCTGAGCTCAAGTAATCCTCCCCCCTCGACCTCCCAGAGTACTAGGATTACAGGGGTGAGCCACCGTGCCCAGCCTTAGTATTCCTTTTCAATGAAGGTTTCTGCTCTGAACTGTGAATGGTGAGGGAGTGTTGGGAGAAACCTGCATGTCCCTCAGTGAGGAGACCGGGTGGGGGTTGGGGATAAATGACTGGAAGGCACTACATGGCTGATAGGAATAGAGGTGCAGACATTAGGTTGTATAAAGTTCACCCCGTGTCTGCAACATGGGCCTTTCTTATGTTCTTTTGACACTGCCGCAGCTCTTCCTGGAGACCCTGCCCAAGTTCCTGCACATGTCTAGCCCGGCAGAGGATGGGCCCCAACTTGGGGCCCTGGTCCGGAGAAGCAGCTCCCTGGGCTACATCTCCAAGGCTGAGGAGTACTTCTTACTCAAGTCCCGCAGTGACCTCATGTTCGAGAAGCAGTCAGAGCGGCACGGGCTGGCCCGGCGCCTCACCACTGCACGTGAGTGCCCCAGGGTCTTGGGCTTTGACCCATCTGTGGGAGGTGGGTGGAGCAGGTCTCATGCCCCCTCTGGCCACTTGTCCACAGGCCAGCCCCCAACAAACTCTGAGCAGGCCCAGCAGGAACTCCTCAGTGAGCTGAGGCCAGCTGTGGATGGGGCAAACTTCATTGTTAACCACATGAGGGACCAGAACAATTACAATGAGGTGAGTGGCCATGGGGCTGCCATGTGCAGGCACTCAAGGAGTGCACTGATTGTTTCCTCTCTTAAGAGAGAACAGTTCCTTCAAACATGTACCAACTTAGATGAGAGAGTTCCTGCTGGGTGCAGATTTCAGGCCCCCCCAGAGAAGGAGAACATCTGCTTACAGCCCCATAGTAGCACCTTGGCCCAGGGACACACTGAAGGGCACACAAAGGCACCCAGCTCCACCCTGTCCAGGCCATGCTCTGGACATCCCTTAGGGTCTTTTCTTTTTCCTTGTTGCCAATCATTTTCTGTCCCCGCCCAGCTCCAAGCCTGATACTCTGGATGGAGCCTGACATTAAAAGGTAGTCATATATGGTTATTCAATATTATACAAAATTTCAACATTCTCTCCTGAGAAACAGCACCCTTCTTCCAGTTCACATATGAGCTAGCAGCGACCCCGAGAGACCCTTGGTGCCCTGCTTTTCCGTAGTTCCCTAGACCCCCATGGTAATGTGTAACTCCTCAATGGACAGAGTGACCAGTCCTGCCTGTGGCCAGAGGGGCCTGTCCCGTGCTGAGGACATGCCAGCATGTCTCATCTGCTGTGAGGTGGCCCCACAGATATGCCATGCCTCTGTCTCTGCAGTTAGGGGGTAGGGCTGTGTGATTCAGAGCCCTCCTCACCTCATTGTCTCTGCCCTGTCTACAGGAGAAGGACAGCTGGAACCAGGTGGCCCGCACAGTGGACCGCCTCTGCCTGTTCGTGGTGGCACCCATCATGGTAGTGGGTACAGCTTGGATCTTCCTGCAGGGTGTCTACAACCAGCCCCCACCTCAGCCTTTTCCCGGGGACCCCTACTCCTACCGAGAGCAGGACAAGCGTTTCATCTAGGGGGGTCTTGTGGGGGCAGATATGTGGTGGGGGGTCTGAGAGGATCCTGCATGTGACTGAGAGGATTAGAACAGGCCCAGAGGGCCAGTTATTCACTTCCTTGATGTATAGGCTTGGGGCTCTAGGATGGCCAGCTCTTGGCCCTGTGCTTATGCCCCTCAATCTGGTGTGGATGCCAAGAAAGGGAGGGAGAAGCTCCATTCCCCAGGAGCTACCAAGAGTGGCTGCAGCTGGAGGAGTGGGCAGGATGATTTGCTGAAGGCAGGAGGCTGCCTCAAGGCCAGGTAGGTTGATGCTCAGGCTTGCCTTATGGAGAGCTGAGAGGTTAGGCAGGAAGTGGGGCAGAGCAGGCAGGAAGCTGCACCCTCACTGCCTCCTCCCACCTACCCCCAACCTCACTGGGTCAGAAGCTGGGAAAACCTCCCTCTCCCTAGGCCCCGGAGGGAAGGAGGTTTTTTGCACAGTAGGAGCATGGGGTTCTAGAGTGTCCTTCTCCAGCCTTTTCTGCCTTGACTACTATGTGTCTGGGTCCCTCTGGGAAGCTGAGGACTGGAGCAGAAGGGTTAGGTTTTTACCCACAAAGGTTCAGGGCCAGCCTGAGATCACATGCACAATTTTAGAGCATTGAAACTCAACACACCCCTTCCCAAATAATCCCTCTCAGCACTTCCTCCTCTCCAAAGTAGGGTTGCCATGAAATATTTGGGACATATATATACTAAAAAATTACTGATTATCTAAAAGTTGTCCCATTATTTTTATTTATGAAATCTAACAACCCTACCCCAAAGGGAGCCCCACTCAATCCCATCCTGAGAGCTATCTGCCAAGACTGTGGGAGGTGGGAGATGTGAGTCTGTGTGGCAGCCTCCCTCTGGAGTGACCCTAGTGACCCACCTCCTAGCAGTCACACCGTATACAGAGCCCTCTACACTGGACCAGGCTGGGTCAGTGTAGACAAAGGAATGAGACAGAAGTGATGGCAAATCACTTTCAGACTAGGTTACAAAAGACTCTGTGGCTACTTTCTCACTCACTCTCACATCAGTGGGACCTCTCACTTGGGGAGCCAGTGAATGCTTTAAAGAGCCCCAAGGAGAGGCCCTTGTGGCAAGGAACAGATACATCCTGTCAACAGCCATGTGAGTGAATTTGGAAGTGGCTTCTCCAGCCCAGTAGGGCCTTCAGATGAGATCACAGCCTCCCTCAAGTTGTTCAGTAGACAACTTGACTGCAGGCCCATTCCTGAAACACCCAGCTAAGCTGCTTCTGGATTCCTGACTCTCAAAAGCCATATGGGATAATAAATGTTCATTGTTTTAAGCAATGAAGTTTTTTAGTAATTCATCTTGTTAGCAGTGTGACCTTGGGTAAACCACGTCTCTTAGCTTCAATTTTCTCATCTGCAAAATGTGTACATAATAGTCCTACTCATGGGAAATGGTGAAAATCAAATTTTCAGTAGGAGTAAAGGTGTGACTTGCAAATTTAAGGGGTGGTTATTCATCCTATTCCTCCTGTGTGGGCTTGGGTCACAGAAGCTGGGATTCCGAGGGCCCCTACAATGACCTCATGTCCAGGTCTCCTGCATCTGAGCCTGCAAGGATTAGAACAGGTCATAGAAGGCCCAGTTATCCACCTCTTTGATGTGGAGGCAGGCTTGGGGTCTTCACAGCTCAACCCATTTTCATCACAGGGCATCGGTAACCTCATTAGTTCAGATATAGAGGTCAGCTTTTTAATCTTTAGATGTATTTAAAATGAAAACTGATCCAGTTACTTCTGACTTCCAGTATGAATGGTGCACAAACTCAAGGCACAAATATTTCATTTTCCCCTCAGAATAGGAAAGCCCATCTTGGACTCACACCTGTCAGATGAGCCAAAAGTCCAGAATTTCCCAGGAACGTGTTCCACCAACTCAGGGAGGGTCCCTGTGTCAAGCAGAGATGAGAGGGGGACCTGCATTCAAGGCCCTATGCCATGGTCTCTCCTTCTCTCTGCCACACGGTGGCAATGTTGGCAGCTAATTTTAGGCCAACCATCGAGAGAGTCCTCAGTTGTGTCATTCCCTGCTTAGGTGGCTGTGAACCTTCCAGACAATCCCTGATTGCCACACACAACCAAGGGTGACTCTTGTGTAGGCTCCCAGAGTCACAGCAGTTTCCACCAGCAGCATCCACCATTGGTCCACTCTGATCAACATGGAACTCAATCTCTTTCCCTCCCCAGGAAGTCCACTCACAGGAACAGCTTCTGGGAAGCCAAACAGGGCTCCTACATTCTCTTCAGACCCCTAGGGCTACCCACTCTCTTTTGATGGGTGGCAAATCAGTTAGGAATGAATTGGGCTGCAAGAAACAGAAAAACCAATGAACCATAACTTTAAAAAGTACAGTTTCTTTTTTCTCATATAATGAGAATCTCAAGGCTGTGGTGGCTACACTGGCTGAGGTGTCCAACAAAGCTACCAGGGATCCAGGCTCTGCTGCCTGCTCAGCCCTGCTCTGTGGCATGTTGGCTTTCATCCTCCAACCTGCTGCCTCTAAGCTATGAGCTGTACTTTGTACCTATGTTCAGGGAGAAAAGGAGGCAGCCATTTCTGACCCCACTAATCAAGAAGCAAACCTTTCCCATGAAGTCCCTGCAGACATCCTACTAGTCTGAAGGGAGCGTGGGAAATGAGTATTTAGCTCTTTCTGCCTTTAAAGAGAAAGTAGCAATGGAGAACTAGTTGTTAGGCACTGCGTGATGTCTACTGATGATTTTCTCTTTAGTTTGAGACAGAGTCTCACTCTGTTGCCCTGGGGTAGATTCCTGTGGTATCAGCATAGCTCACAGCAACCTCAAACTCTTGGGCTCAAATAATCCTCTTGCTTCAGCTTCCCGAGTAGCTGGGACTACAGACGTCCATCACAATGCCTGGCTAATTTTTATATTTTGTTAGTAGAGATGGGGTCTTGCTCTTGCTCAGGTTGGTCTTGAACTCCTGAGCTCAGGTAATCTGCCCATCTCAGCCTCCCAGAGTGCTAGGATTGATGATTTTCTCCTAATGGACCCTGTCCCTCCATACTTAATCCCTCCAGTAAAGTGCCACTCCTCACAAATGACTCTCACTCCTATGACCAAGGAAGCTTCTCTGTCCTCTCTCCAAGAACAGAGAAGGGAGGAAACAGGAACACATGTCTTTTTTATTATTATTAAATCATAGCTGTGTACATTAATGCAATCACGGGGTATGGTGTGGTGTTTTCATATACATTTTGAAATACTCTCATCAAACTGGTTAATGTAGTCTTTATGTCATTCTCTTAGTTATTGAGTCAAGACATTCATACTCTGCTTTTATAAAGATTCACTTGTACCCTTGTAGGATAAGGGAGCACATGTCTTAATACAGAGAGAGGCAGCATAATTCACAGGGGAAATCAGTCCCATAACCTCCCCCCCACACACACCTGTGGGGAAGGAAAAAGGAAGTCAGAGATGTGCAAGCATCAGCCTAGGGTGGACCAAGGGATGGGGGACATACATGACCCATTATTTGGCATTGCTTCATGACAGAGGCCATTAATGATCTTGGGGAAAGTATGGGCCCAGGAGGGAGGAGAGGGTTGGAGAGAGCTAGCTCTATACCAAAGGGGAAGGGAACTGAGACTTGGGGAGTGGGCACCAGAGGGCAAAATGGGGAGGCAAGGGGAGAAGGAGACAGTAGCTTTGGAAACTCCAGGGAAAGTGGGCTACATGAAAGATGCTCGTGAGAGTGATACTTTCAGAGGGGAGGCAAAGAAAACTGGGTGTATGGCCCAAGCAGGACTGAATACAAGGATGGCAGATGAGCCACCCACAGAGTAACTCAGTGGAATAAAGGCAATGCCAGAGATGCCAGGGTGGGGCAGGTGCCACCACTACTAGCCCCCACCCACACCCCATGAAGTCCTGGTCAGGATGGGAGGGACCTGAGGCCCTGCTGCCAGGGGCTGGATTCTGAGCTGACCTCCTGTGGGCCTCTAAGGACAGAGCACCTCGGCCGACTTCCAGTTTTCTGGCACAATAGAAATGCTGTGGACATCAGCATCAGTTAGGGGAGGCTTTCCCTCCAGCCCTGGGAGGCAGCCTCCAGGGGGTGTGGCACATAAGAGAACTCAAGATTTCTGTCTTGTCCACAAAAGAGACATGCTGACCTGTCTCCTTGGAAAAGGTGGCCAAAGGGCAGGAGGCCTGAGCCCATGGCCACACCAGCAGTGAGGCCCTTGGTTCCCAGATCAGCCTCAGCCTCACCTTTTACCCATCACAAACCACAAAATATACAGGGCTCATTTCCAGCCCTTCCCTTTCCTCCATTCCCTCTATCTGACTCTGGGGGCACAGCCTCAACTCTTGTCCACTACCTGCCCCCACTGGACTGTGAGTTGTTACGGGGAGGCTTATCCTGGTCTCCCTGGCCTTGCGCTGTGTCTGCCACATGCGGGGGACTATGTTGGATAATTTAATAAATACTGAGGAGCCAGGGCTGCACGCATAGCTCAGTGGGTAGGGCACCAGCTACATACACCAGAGCTGGAGGGTTCGAACCTGGCTCGGCCCAGCTAAACAACAATGACAACTGCAACAAAAAAAATAGCACCAGCTACTTGGAAGGCAAGAGAATCACTTAAGCCCAAGAGTTTGAGATTGCTTTGAGCTGTGCCCACAGACAACATAGTGAGACTCTGTCTCAAAAAAATAAAATAAAATCAATACTGAGGAGCCTCCATTCAGGGGCTGTCTTAGTCTCAAGAGCCCCAAGTTCTAGATCTTTCTCAGCCCTTCTTACTAGGTATGTGTATCCTGTCCCAGGGCAGGAGAAGACATGGGCCAGGCACTATTATTTGTGTGAAGGCATCAGAGTCTGTAACACATCTCGCTCCCAGCCACTCTTCCCTTGGTGTTAGGGCCCCATGGAGTGACCCACAAGATGTCAGGCTGGTGGGGGAGGTTTGGGGTCTTTAACTACATAACAGAGAAACTCAAGTATAAAACGTGCCTACTCAACAGACTTCTTATCTGCCCAGATCCTGACTCCCTGGAGGGAACAGGAGGAGGGAGCCAGTGTCAGTCCCTCTGGAGCCTGGGTCAGGTTCCTTGGTGACCTGCCTTTCTCTCTCACACTCTGCTATCCCTGGCTGTGTCCTTAGCACTCAGCTGGAAAACAGATATAGGACTGGGACAACTGAGTCTGAGATTGGGGATGGAGGGTGAGCCATCTCTGCTGGGGTAGACGAAGCCCCTCTCTCCCCTCCCAGGTAACCTGAGCCCAGCATTGTGTCCATCCTGAACAGCTGACAATGCTGTGGTCAGACAGCTGGTGGGGCTGGGCCAGGCAGGCAGGCCAGGGTGGGAGTGTAGGCTGTTATATGACACCCAGTGCCCAGGGTTATATGTTATATGCCTGCCCCAGACCAGGAGAACTGTCATCACACCCTGTCACTGCAGAGAGCTGAGACACCATGCACAGGGGCCGGGGGCTGCTTCTTCTCCTTCTGCTGGGGGCCGCCTGCCTGGGTGAGACACAAGGGGTACTGGGGCCTGGGAGCCCAGAGCAGGGGTCCAAGGCCTCGGGTGATGGGGAGGCTGGAAGGGTATAGAGGCCTGCCCAAGCCTGGCTCCCCGAGCCTCCACTTTCTCTCCCATGGCCTTGCCCTGCTTTCTGCCTCAAAGCTCCTGCCATGGGCTTATGGCTATCTGTTGCAGGGTCCTGGGGCCGGAACCAGGAGGAACGCCTGCTTGCAGACCTGATGCGTGACTACAACCCCCAGCTGCGGCCTGCTGAGCGTGACTCAGACGTGGTCAATGTCAGCCTGAAGCTCACCCTCACCAACCTCATCTCCCTGGTGAGCTGCAGGAGGGAAGGACAGGCTAGGCCTCTGGGAGCTGCTGGGGAGAGACCAGGGGGTCTGGAAAACTCTCATGGGTTGTGGGGATCTGTTTGGCTCCATTAAGTGGCCTATAGGGACTGGTATCTGGGGGGGGGGCAAGCTGTGAAGGGCTTAGCTCTCCACTCTGCACCCCCAGAATGAACGAGAGGAGGCCCTCACCACTAACGTCTGGATAGAGATGGTGAGAACTCAACCTGCCACCCTCCAATGAGGGCCTCCATCCTGGTGCCTCAAGGCCTCCTTGGAGCTGCCTGCCCCTCCCTGCCCCTTCTGTCTCCCTGTTTAACTCCCACGCCTGGGGGCATAGTGCAGCGAGAGTGGAGGCCTGGCAACCACGTGTCCCCCTGCAGCAGTGGTGTGACTACCGCCTGCGCTGGGATCCACAAGACTACGACGGCCTGTGGGTGCTGAGGGTGCCTTCTACCATGGTGTGGCGGCCAGACATCGTGCTGGAAAACAAGTGAGGAGGGGGTTCAGGCAGGGATGGGGGAAAGGACACAGGATCAGGGCCCAGCAGAACAAGGGAAAGCAGCTCTGGGAAAACAGAAAGATGAGCAGAGGGTGCAGACCAGGTGCCTGCAGGGGCAGAGGACCAGACATAGTGGGTGCTGGGGTCAGGGACCTAGGGACAGCTCTGACACTGCACCAGGCTCCCTTCCCTCTGGGTCAGGCCACTCGGGTGGGCTGCTCCCCTCCCTGTAACATGGGGCCACTGCCAGCTCCTAGAGAAGCCGGCAGGTGTCAACAAGACAGGCATGGAAAGTGTGTCTTTCAGGCTGAAAGAGCTTAACAGATGTTAGTCGCTGTTGCTACCATTATTGTTGTTACTATCCTTAAAGAAAGTGGGAGAAAGAGAAGCAGGCTAGGAGGCGGGCAAGGGAGCCTGGCCTGGTGGGTCTGGGTGGCAGGGAGATTGTTGGAGGCATGCAGTGGTTCCAGGTGGGGACCAGTCAGCAACAGGGCAGAGGGCTGTTCTGGGGCTGTCGGGTCTGCACCTCCAGCTTGGCGGCCTGCCCTGCCCACAGCGTGGATGGTGTCTTCGAGGTGGCCCTTTACTGCAATGTGCTTGTGTCCCCTGATGGCTGCATCTACTGGCTGCCACCTGCCATCTTCCGCTCCTCCTGCTCCATCTCAGTCACCTACTTCCCATTCGACTGGCAGAACTGCTCTCTTGTCTTCCAGTGAGGCCATGTGTGTGTGTGGGGGGGGGATTCAGGGAGCCACCTAGGAGGGGCCTGGGCAGCAGTGGAGGACTCATGGCAGCACCTAGAGGCCAGAGGCCTGGTGCCATCTCTCCTGAGCCTCTATGCCCATCTCAGGCCAAGTGCTCAAGTTCTCCCTTCTAAGCCTCAGGACCCTCGCTCATCCTCCTTCACTGCCTCCGTTTCAGAAAAGTAGGGGAGAAGGAACATCTGGGGTATGGGTGAGAAATAATACCTGGGGTGTGTAGTGTATGGGTGAGAGATAACATCTGGGGTGTGGGGTGTGGGTGAGAAGTAACATCTGGAGTGTGGCGTATGTGGGTGAGAGGGCACACACACACAAAACCACTATATGCTACAGGCCCAGGGCCAGAGCTGTCTTGCCAGGGACCAGGCTCAGCAGATTCTGGGTGAAGCCTGTATGTGACCAAGCCTCACCTGGAGGCCTCCAGTCCAATCTCCTTGTACATAAATGTGGAAAGGGGGACCTGGGTGGGGGCTGTCCTGCATTTTAGAAAAGCAGTCTTTTTATAAGGAAACCTGGCAGGGAGCAAGACCCCCTAGATAAACAGACCGAGGGGTCTTTTGGTGGGCATGTACATTGTAATCCTCAGTCCTGCTGTCCCAGGGAGTGAGAGGGATGCATGCAGAGTGGCCCTGGGTCTTTAGGCCAGGCAGGGCACTGAGCTTCAGCCTCCCAGCCTTTCAACTCAAACTTCCCCAACCCCAGAAAACCCCTTCACTCCCTCCATCTCCACCACTGGGGTTTGCAGAGAACTCAGAAGCATGGGGCTGCATTTTTCAAAGCAAAGCCACCCACAATTACCCTTATGTGACCATCTCTGTGATCTCAGCAGGTCCACCTACACTCACATTTAGCCTCTTTCCTTGGTGCCTCTAGGTCGCAGACCTATGGCACCAATGAGATTGATCTGCAGTTGAGTCAGGAAGATGGCCAGACCATCGAATGGATTTTCATTGACCCTGAGGCTTTCACAGGTAACCCCCTACCTGGGGGCTCCCCAGGCAGCCTTGTCTAGGGTTCTTGCCTGACCTGGCTGCAGGGGCAAGGCCAGACCAAGGTGTTGCTCCTCTCATGTAACTCAAAAGAAAAATTAAACCATGAAATAAGCATTTAAAATGGTCCAAGACATTTCTATTTCTTGTGATAATGGTACACATTTTGGAGGAAGGGATCAAGTATCCACTCTCCCACGTCAGGCTGTCCTTGGAGAGTGTGCCTCTGCCCCTGTTCTATAGGGTGCATGCCACCCCTGCAGTGGGCTCAAGTGGGTTGCAGGGATCTGCCCAGCCCACATTCCCCATGCCCCCCACCACCTGCAGAGAATGGGGAGTGGGCCATCCGGCACCGGCCAGCCAAGATGCTGCTTGACACAGCAGCCCCAGCAGAGGAGGCGGGCCCCCAGAAGGTGGTGTTCTACCTGCTCATCCAGCGCAAGCCCCTCTTCTACATCATCAACATCATCACCCCCTGTGTGCTCATCTCCTCTGTGGCCATCCTCATCTACTTCCTTCCTGCCAAAGGTAACTGGAACCTAGGGAGGGGAGCCATGCCTCATCCAGCATCACAGAGGACACATGGGAGGCCAGGGCAGGCACAGAGTGACACCACAACCCAGGACAGGGGGCAGCGGGCTCCTTCTGGGGTGGGGATAGGGGTTCCTCTGTGGGTTGGGGGGGGTGTAGACCTGCTATGAGGGCCTCTCCATCACATGCAGCTGGAGGTCAGAAGTGTACTGTCGCCATCAACGTGCTCCTGGCCCAGACTGTCTTCCTCTTCCTTGTGGCCAAGAAGGTGCCTGAGACCTCCCAGGCAGTGCCACTCATCAGCAAGTGAGGCTGGCCCACCCTCCCCTCCCCTCCTCACTCCAGGGGACCTGAGGGAAGCAGCTGCTAAGGCTAGGGGTGGCATCGCATCTGGGTATAAGGTGCTTAAGGGCCACCCCAGCCCCCTCCCACCCACCCCAACAGATACCTGACCTTCCTCTTGGTGGTGACCATCCTTATCGTCGTGAATGCTGTGGTGGTGCTCAATGTGTCCTTGCGGTCCCCCCACACACACTCCATGGCCCAAGGGGTCCGAAAGGTAAGGCCCTCCCAGCCCTTTCCAGCATCTTCCTGTCCTCTGTGCTCCCTCTGTGCCTGTCCCTGGCCATATTCCTCACCTGCAGGAGACAGCAGTAAATCTGCCCATGTGTAAATTGAAGCATGTGCCAAAGTTACTAGCTGCTAGGGTATTACTAACTTACTGGCCAGGTGCAGGGGTTCATGCCTGTAATCACAGCACTCTGAGAGGCCAAAGCAGGAGGATCACTTGAGCCCAAGAATCTGAGGTTGGAGTGAACTATGATCATACCACTGTACTCCAGCTTGTGTGATGGAGCAAGACCCTGTCTCCAACCACCCCCCCGAACCATATTTACCTTATTTAATCTTTATACACCCTTATCAAGTGGGCATTATTATCATCTCTATTTTACAGATGAGGAAATAGGCACAGAAAAGTGCTGCCCAAGGTCATACAGCTAGAAAGTGGAGGTGGCAGGATTCTGCTCAGGCAGTCTGATTCCAGAGTCTGTGTGCTTGGCAGCCCACCTGCAGGAGTCTGCTGGGCTCTTGCCACTCATGCAGATTCCCAGGTCCACCCAGAGCACCCTAGGCCAGAATAGCAAGGGGGTGGGGAATAGGAATCTTGTGTGTTTGTAACAAGCACCCTGGTGGATTCTGACATGCACAAAAGTTAGGGGACCCAGAGTTCACATCCAGAAAGGAATAGTCAAGCTGTGATAGGGCTAGGTGACTGACTGCTTCCTCAGGGCCCTGGCAGCATCAGCCCTTTGTGACAACTTCCAGCTTCTGCTCTGCAACTCAGCCTGGTTGCCCAAGCTAAGCCGCCCAGAACAACTGGTGTTGTCATTCTCTCCAGGTGTTCCTGGGGCTCCTGCCCCAGCTGCTGCGGATGCATGTTCGCCTGCTGGCCCCAGCAGCTGTGCAGGTCACCCAGTCCAGGCTACAGAATGGCTTTTCCTCAGGGTGGTCAATCACAACTGGAGAGGAAGTAGCCCTCTGCCTGCCTCGCAGTGAACTCCTCTTCCAGCAGAGGCAGCATCACAGGCTGGTGAGGGCAGCACTGGAGAAAATAGGTGAGGCACAGCAGGTGCAACAATGGAGACACTCCTTTCCACGGAGCCTAGATAGGGTGCCAGGTACAACACATGAGTATTGGACAAGTGTCCGAGGGAAGGAGAGAGGGGTTGCAGACCCTAGGAAAGGCCATTTTCCCTCCCTGTTTCTCCTCCATTCTACTCCTAAACCTTACCTCTCCCAACCAGAGAAAGGCCCGGAGACTGGGCAGAGCCAGGAGTTCTGTGGCAGCCTGAAGCAGGCCGCCCCGGCCATCCAGGCCTGTGTACAAGCCTGCAACCTCATTGCCCGTGCCCGGCACCAGCAGAGTCACTTTGACAGTGTAAGCTGTGTTGGGGTAGAGTGGGGCAAGTACCTGGGCTTGGACCTGTGATTGGGCAGGACAGTGGGATTGCTAAGGCAGGGCAGCGGAACGGAAAAAGCAGAGCAGGGAACAGGGAGGGGGAAAGACATCAGGGCCAGGGGACCATGGAAGAAGCTACCAGTTAAGACCTGGACATAGGGGAGAGGGCCAAGGAAATGGAAAATGGTGGCCTGCTGGAAGCCCAAGGATGGTAGAGGGATCCAGGGTAGGTTTGGTGCCACTGCTGGTCATCCCACATCCTGCTTCCTGCCATCAGGGAAACGAGGAATGGTTCTTGATAGGTCGCGTGCTGGACCGTGTCTGCTTCTTAGCCATGCTCTCGCTCTTCATCTGTGGTACTACTGGCATCTTCCTCATGGCCCACTACAACCAGGTACCCACCCTGCCATTCCCTGGAGACCCTCGCCCCTATCTGCCCTCGCCAGACTGAGTCAACCAATTGCTGCTGGGCATGTGGGAGTCATCTATGTGGGCCACGTGGCCAAGGTCATGACCATGCTCCTTGGAAAGTGCCCATCACTTTCCCATCATGCTCCTTGGAAAGTGCCCAACTGTGGAAGCCAAAAAAGTCTCAGAAAAACTGGAGAAATAAAGAACTGGAGTGGACCCCCTGCAGTGGCTGTGGTCAGGGTACGCTGTTGGGGTCAGCACCCATGTGGCATTGCTAGCTCATCCTGGCACTAACAACTCCCCCAGTTAGTGAACCCCCCTCCCTGCAACAAAACTTATCAATTCCCATCATTTCAAAAGCCTAAGGACTCTTATTTTGTATGATGCCCCTGTCAAGGTCCTAACCTTTTCTGCTCGGCTGGCAGAGTCCTCCCTAATGCAGGGCAGAAAAGGGAAGTATGCAGCAAGGCAGCCAAGGCTGTCTTGGAAGAAGGGCAGCAGTCCCCACCAGCTGCTATCTCCCTCCTCTGCCTTCTGGGTGCAATAGTACCCAGTATTCATCTGCACCAGTGGTTTTCCACTCATGTGCATTTTTTTCCATTGATCACAAAAGCATTGAGTTTTGTTATTTTTTTTAAGATAAGCTCTATTCTTAATATTATAGACAAGCAGGGGTCACTATTTCCCCACATTTCATATGGCACAGTAAGGAACTGATGCAAAAAACGAGGTTTAGAATCCACAATTCTGGACTGTGACTCAGTATCAGACACTCTAAGAAAGAGTCTGTGGCCCTTCTTCCCAAAGGTCCTGGCATTCACACTGATCCCAGAGATGGCTGAGATAAAGAAGAGCCAGGCAGGGAAGCTTTACATTAATAGGGAGGCACTGAGCCCCACCTTCCAGGAAGAAACTCAATTGGCCTCCCCTAGCCCCACATACCAGGAAATAAAATAACCAGCTGAGGTCCTCCTAGAGGAGAGACAAGGCCCTGCCCTGAGGACAGCTAGGGCCTGAGCTCTGCTGGTGACCAAGGGGGAACCTTGGGAAAGTCACTTATGCTCCTTGAGCCTGTTTCCTCACCTGTACATACGGGCACAAGTATCTTTCCTATCTACCTCACTGAAGGATCAAAAGTATAGGAAAGGGTGATTCCAAAATGTGAAAGTGCCACATAAAAGCCTGACAATAGGATGTGTTGGGGGAGGGGAACCCAGAAATATACGATTGCTGGCCTTGGGGCTCAATCATCAGTGGATTCATTTTACTTACTGCAGTGTGACTATGTGTGCCCATGTGCAATGTGAGCAGTCAGGGCTGCAGAGTCCTGTGGATGGGGGCAGAGGGAGCGCCATTCAGGAGGCAACATGATGACAGTGTGACCATGTCAGGTTCTTCTAAGCCCCTTACCAGCTTTGTCACCTGGTACAAGCTCAGCTCCTAGAACACTATCTACCATTACTGTAGACTACCATGTCTCAAGCCTGACACTGTCTTGCTGAATCCACAGTAACCTGAAGAGGTAGGTACAGGCAAACCTAGGAGATGTTGAAGGGTCAGTTCCAGATCACAAAGCAGGCCACATGAATTTTTTGGTTTCCTAGTACCTATAAAAGTTATGTTCACATTATAGTCTAGTAAGTGTGCAACAGCATTCTGTCTAAAAAACAATGTATATACTTTAATTAAAAAACACTTTATTGTCAAAAAAAGTTAATGATTATCTGAGCCTTCAGCAAGTCGTAACCTTTTTGCTGGTGGAGGATCTTGCCTTGATGTTGATGGCTGCTGACTGATCAGGGTGGTAGCTGATGAAGGATGAGGTGGCTGAGGCAATTTCTTAAAACAAGACAATGAAGTTTGCTGCATTGATTGACTCTTGCTTTCATGAAATATTTCTCTGTAGCATGCAATGCTGTTTGATAGCATTTTACCCACAGCAGAACTTCTTTCAAAATTGGAGTCAATCCTCTCAAACCCTGCTGCTGCTTTATCAACTAAGTTTATGTAATATTCTAATTCCTTTGTTGTCCTTTCAATGAGGTTCACAGAATTCTTACCAGGAGTACATTGCATCTCAAGAAACCACTTTTTTTGCTTATCCAGAAGAAGCAACTCCTCATCTGTTAAAGTTCTATTATGAGATTGCAACAATTCAGTCACATCCTCAGGCTCTACTTCCAATTCTCTTGCTATTTCCACCACATCTGCTGATACTTCCTCCACTGAAGCCTTAAATCCCTCAACATCATCCATTAGGGTTGGAATCAACTTCTTCCAAACTCCAGTTAACGTTGACATTTTGACCTCCTCCCATGAATCACGAATGTTCTTAATGGCATCTAAAATGGTGAATCCTTTCCAGAAGTTTTTCAATTTGCTTTGCCCAGATCCATTAGAGGAATCACTGTCTATGGCAGCAATAGCCTTATGGAATGTATTTCTTAAATAGTAAGACTTGAAAGTAGAAATTACTCCTTGATTCATGGGCTGCAGATTGGATGTCATGTTAGCAGGCATGAAGACAACATTAATTTCCTTGTACATCTCCATCAGAGCTGTTGAGTGACTAGGTGCACTGTCAACAAGCAGTAATATTTTGAAAGGAATTTTTTTTTCTGAGCAGTAGGTCTCAACAGTGGGCTTAAAATATTCGATGAACCATGCTGTAAACAGATGTGCTGTCATCTGGGCTTTGCTGTTCCATTTATAGAGCACAGGTAGAGTTGATTTAGCATAATTCTTAAGGGCCCTAGGATTTTCAGAATGGTAAATGAGCATTGGCTTCAACTTGAAGTCACCAGTTGCATTGGCCCCTAACAGGAGAGTCAGCCTGTCCCTTGAAGCTTTGAAGCCAGGCATTGACTTCTCCTCTCTAGCTATTAAAGTCTTAGATGGCATTTTCTTCCAATAGAAGGCTGTTTCATCTACATTGAAAATCTGTTGTTTAGTGTAGCCACCTTCATCAATTATATTAGCTAGCACTTCTGTATAATTTGCTGCAACTTCTACATCAGCACTTGCAGCTTCACCTTGTGCTTTTATGTCATGGAAACGGCTTCTTTCCTTAAACCTCATGAACCAACCTCTGCTAGCTCCAAACTTTTCTTCCGCAGCTTTCTCACCTCTCTCAGCTTTCATAGAATTGAAGAGAGTTAGAGCCTTAATTTGGATTTGGCTTTGGCTTAAGGTAATGTTGTGGCTGGTTTGATCTTCTATCCAGACCACTAAAACTTTCTCCATGTCAGCAATAAGGCTGTTTCTCTTTCTTATCATTCGTGTATTCATTGGAGTAGCACTTTTAATTTCCTTTAAGAACTTTTCCTTTGCATTCACTACTTGACTAACTGTTTGGCGCAAGAGGCCTAGTTTTCGGCCTATCTCAGCTTTGGACATGCCTTCCTCACTGAGCTTAATCATTTCTAATTTTTGACTCAAAGTGAGAGAGGTGCGGCTCTTCCTTTCACTTGTGCACTTAGAGGCCATTGTACGATTATTCATTGGCCTAATTTCAATATTATTATGTCTCAGAGAATAGGGAGGACTGAGAAGAGGAATGGGGAATGGTCTTTCAAGGGACTGGTCAGAACATACACAACACTTACTGCTTAAGTTCACTATCTTATTTGGGTCCAGTATGGGTGCCCTCAGACAATTACAATAGTAACATCAAAGATCACTGATCACCACAATAGATAAAAATAATGATAAAGTTTAAAATATTTCAAGAATTACCGAAATGTAATAGAGACACGTTAGAAATGTAATGCAGTGGACACGCTGTTGGAAAAATGGCGCCGATAGACTTGCTCCACTCACGGTTGCCACAAACCTTCAATTTGTAAAAAACGCAGTGTCAGCGAAGCAATAAAACGAGGTATGCCAGGACGGTAGTACAGTAGCGACGCTGAGAGAGCGAAAGGAGCCTCCAAGAGGTTAAGAGATGCCAGAGGGTGAGGCCGTACTGGAGTTGGAGTTGGGATTTTTACCAAGCAGCGAGTCCAGAGCCCGCGCTGTCAACGACGCCGTGCTGCTTTCTTTTCTGAGCCGCGGCGGGAGGGGCCAGCGCGCGCTCCCTTAGGCGGCGGGCGACCCACAGGGTTCAGGAACCAGAACACAGCCGAGAACAGCCAGCCCAGCCACTGAGTCTAAGTCTCCGCGCAGCTGCTCTGGGCTGGTGTCCTAGGATTAGCTGCCCCCCACCGAGGCCTGCGCACAGACGTTCCGCTGCGTCCCGCGCAACCGGAAGTGACCGGGCCTGAGGCGGAGGGACCAGGTGGAGCGGAAGTCACTCCGTGAGGCAGTGGCGACAGCGGCGGCGAGAGGATGAACAACAAGTTCGACGCGTGAGTGGCGCGTGGCTGCCCCCCAGGATCCCTTCCCCCAGCCGTTTCCCCGCGCCCGTCCCCAGCTGGGCCAGGGCGGCGCGAAATGCTGTACCGGCCTCCTTTCTGGGCTCGAGGGGCGACTGGACCCAGCCTGGGCCGCGGGGAGGAGGAGACTGTGGAGCTATGGGTTTGTGGGTCCCGGAGACCGCACTGGGGTCCACGCTGGGTATCTGGGCGAGGGGTGGCCGTGTCGCTCGGAAGGAGGAGATTTTCGGGCGCCCCGCCCTGCTTGGCACGGGTTGCCGGCGACGTGGAGGGGTGGAGACCTCGGCGGTGTTTCCGCAGCCTGCAGCCCTACCTCTGAATTCAACTTTTCCTCACAGACTCTATGACTTAGGCTAGTCACCGCTCCCCTCAGAGCCTCAGCTTTCTCATCTGCAAAGTTGGGAAGGTGACAGCCTGTGTCGCAGAGTTGCGAAGATGCAATGAGGTAACGTGGCTGCTGCGTTCAGCACAGTGGAGGACTCAGTTAAGGAATGATCATCTTCCTACTTCTTTTTCCTTCTCCTCCTGTGCCAGTCTTACCGCACACTCACCCAGCACTAGGCATACTTTGTCGTTGTCCCCCCCACCCCCCCCGCACGCCTCAGTCAAGAGTACCCACTCTGATTCCTAGTTTCAGTATCAAACACTTCGGAGGTGCAGAGAGGAATTGCAAAGTATTTTTGTTTATTGCACTCCGTGGATTGTTTCTTGAGATAGATTATGTTCTTCCCTCTTTTCTAGTGGTCTAGTAAATCTGTCTTCTCATCTGAAGACCTGACTTTCTAGTCCTAGACCCATCAGCTACTAGATATTTTATTTATTTGAGACAGAGTCTCACTATGTTGCCCTCCATAGAGTGCGTGGCGTCACAGCTCACGGCAACCTCAAACTCTTGAGCTTAAGCGATTCTCTTGCCCCAGCCTCCCAAGTAGCTGGGACTACAAGTGCCCGCCACAATGCCCGGCTATTTTTTGTTGTAGTTGTCATTGTTGTTCAGCTGGCCCCGGCCGGGTTCAAACCCGCCAGCGTTGGTATATGTGGCTGGCACCATAACGACTGTGCTACGAGCGTTGAGCCACAGCTACCAGTTAAGAATGTAAAGTAGAATTACTATTAGTTTAGGTTGTGACCTGGTGATTGTGATGGGAAATTGGGGTTTTTCCAATACAGACAGTGCTGGTGGGCAGATTCAGGGGGTGTTGGATTTTCCACACTCCAGGCTCCTGGTTGCTGAAAGGTGTCTGCTCCTTGAGAAAAATCTTTAGCAGACCTCTTCCTCATTCTGCTGCTTAGTTAAGCCCATCTCTGTATGACCCCTTCTCCCACCCACACCTACCATAAGTCCAGAAACTGCAGGGTCTAAATCCTGCCTCAGTGGAGCTTTCTGGAACCCTTATCCCATCCTCCACTAATTTGGTCAAATCAGATTTTATCATAAGAAGGTACTTGATGGATCATCTAACTCAATCCTACCCAGATCATTTGCGGGTGGGCCGTGAGAATGGTAATAATGGGCTTCTGCAGGCCGCTTGTTAGGTTCTTTTCATATGTTATTTATTCTCTAAAAACTGCTGTGAAGTGGATCTCCTTCTACAGATGATGATAATGAGGCTCTGCAAGGTTAAGTAACTTGCTTAAGACAATAGGAAGAGCCATCCCAGATTTGATGTTTAACCTGGATTGGTTCAAGTAATCTCTTGACAAAAAATAACCTGGGTGATTTTTTTTTTTTAACTGTTTTCCATGATTCAGGAACCTGGGTCATTTTAATACTTCTATTTATTAACTAACTTTTTTGGTTTTTATTTTCCTGGGTTCCTGGCCAAAGGATAATTATTCACTGTTGTATATACAATGAGCTCAGATTAAAGAGGCATTCTAACCTCCTTTGCTATGTGGATTCTGCTTCTTTAAATGTAATTGGGAAGATTGTTATTGATTTTGGGAGGAGGTAGGCTCCCCATTGACATGTAGAATGCTAAAGTGTTTTTACCAGAATTGCAGTTGCAACTGTGATAACTTAGTTTTCATATCTAGATGCCATATTTTATTTTGTCCCCCTTCTGTATCATTTGCTTTTTATTTCATACCATCTTTTCACCCATACTTAACTATTGTGTGAACCACTTACTTGGCACTCAATCACTTTGACTTTAGAGATCCAGTCACTAAACTGGTTTGTTTTATACCATTTTGATGCTAGAGGCATAAAAATGAATTGGAACAAGTTTTTACCCTCAAAGAATTGGTCAAGTTCAGAGAAGGTGAGGAAATACCTGGGCAGAATCTTGGTGAGTTAACCAAGGTGCCACTCAGTCTGGATGTCCTCAGAGATGCTATTTGTCTACCTGAATTTAAGGAGCACTGATTTTTCAGTCTGAGTTGTATCTTAGCTCAAATCCAACTTCAAGTTGGGAAGAATAGCCTCTGGAAAGTAGGATATCAAAGTTTTGCCTCAAATGTAGGCTCAGAGGACCAGCTGGGTGGTTAGCTCCACTCTCAATAAATAAAAGCACTAGGTGAAGGTCTATTAACATTTCCATTTACTCTCTTAGAAGGGAGTGGGAAATGGTTCTGGGATCACAGTAACATTGTTTCTTCTCTGACATTATTTTTCTGGGCCAGCTTGGTGGCTCATGCACTCAGCACTTGGGAGGCTGAAACAGGTGGATTCCTGAGCTCATAGGTTGAGACTAGCCTGAGCCAGAGCGAGACACCCCACACCCCACCCCCACCCTGTCTCTAATAATAGCTGGGTGTTGTAGTGGGCGCCTGTAGTTGCAGCTCCTTGGGAGGCTTAAGCAAGAGGATCACTTGAACCCAAGAGTTTGAGGTTGCTGTGAGCTAAGATGCCACGGCACTCTACCAAGGGTAAGCAAATGAGACTGTCTCAAAATATATATATATATTTTTTTCTGATTCTTTCTCTGTTTCTTATTAGTGATCAGCTGCAAAACCACTGAATATGAAGGAATTTATATACATTTCTTGTAGCTCACAAAAGGAGGTGACCATGCCCTTCTTCAACCAAGATCTAGTGTCAGGGGACCCCAGGAGCTGTAGTGGGGCTTGGAAGCTCAGGAGAGGAAAATCATTTGCATATCTGATTGTGCCCTAAAGAAGAGAGTTAGAACCTGTCTTGGGCCTAAGCATTAGAAGAACCTGAGATGTGCTTGATTAGGAGACAAAAAACTGGCTATGGTAGTGTAGATAAGACAAATGCATTATGTTTATATGGGGAAGTTCAGAAGAGGGGACCTGACTCAGCCTGGGCTGCGAGAGATTAGGAAATGTTTACAAGAGAAAGTGACCCTCTGGCTCGGTGCCTGTAGCTCAGCGGCTAGGGTGCAGGCCACATATACCGGGGCTGGTGAGTTCAAACCCAGCCCAGGCCTGCCACACAACAATGACAACAACAAAAAAATAGCCAGGCATTGTGGTGGGCGCCTGTAGTCCCAGCTGTTTGGGAGGCTGAGGCAAGAGAATCGCTTAAGCCCAGGAGTTTTGAGGTTGCTGTGAGCTGTGATGCCACAGCACTCTACTGAGGGTGACATAGTGTGACTCTGTCTCAAAAAAAGAAAAAAAAGAAAATGACCCTCAATTTGAGTCTTGAAAAATAGGTTAACTAGGAAAAGAGCATTTTTTTGAAGAGAGACCACATGATGAACATAACAAAAGGGTTAAATTGGGGGATTGCAATTAGGCTGATATTTCACTATCTATTTATAGAGTGAAAAGAGTTTGTTGAGATCAGGCAAGAGATGATATTGGGATATGTGGGCAGAGCAGGGGCTCTTTGCACTCATGCATGAGTGTTTGTCTACCATATCTCCTTAATTAGATCCTTGGGGATAGGCCCTCTGGCACTCTGGTAGCTGATAGACGTAGTAGATGCTTGGTAGATTTTGGTAATTTTTAATCCATGGGACTTGTATATGAAACAGGCTAATTTTGAAAAGGAAACCAAGCCAATTAAATAATACAGAGGGAGATAGTATCATAAGCACAGGTAATGGTCTCCCAGAATTCCAGGGAGGCTGAACTAATCCAGAGAGATGGTAGCATTAGTAACAAAATAAAGCTCTTTTCCTTCCCTGCTCATCTGCTCCATTCTCTTTCCCTCTGCTGGCCTTAGCTGCTTTTGCCTCATGGCTTTTCTTGCCTGGGGTCCATGTGGCTGCCTCAGCTCCTGAGCCTGTTCTCTCTCATCACCTGAAGTGCTCAGCAAAGAATCTACTTATATTTTTGAGCAGTACGCTCCCTGAGACCTGTGTTTTGTTTTGTGACAGTCTTTCTTTGTTGCCCCTGGTAGAGTGCTGTGGTGTCACAGCTCACAGAGACCTCAGACTCCTGGACTCAAGTGGTTCTCATGCCTCAGCCTCCAGTGTAGCTGGGATTTCAGGTGCCTGCCACAATGCCCCACTGTTTTTAGAGGTGGGGTGTCACACAGCTCAGGCTGGTCTTGAACTCATGAGCTCCGGTGATCCGCCGGCTTTGGCCTCTCAAGTGCTGGGATTACAGGTATGAGCCATTGCACCCAGCCTCCTGGGACCTGTTTTTGACCATGTTGTGCTGCCATTTGATCAGGTGCCGTTCATTGTCGTGTCTTAACCACTTGATTGTATATCCTGCAGCTAGGGCTGTGAAATGGGTAGAGCAGGTGCCCTATCATATAATTAGCTCACCTACTCCCATATTTATTGGGTGCTTACAGAATGCTAGGCACTGGGGATTAGGGGGTAAAAAATAAACTACAAAATACAGCATGTATTTTGCTGTATCTGTGTAGGACAATGTGTGAATTATAATTGGAGCATTTCTAGTGTCATTCTTGAGAATTGTGTAGTCATTTGACTATACATATACAGTGAGTTGACCACCCAAGGGACTATGACAAACTGGTCAACATATCGAAATGATCAACATAAGGAACTAGGGTCAGGTGCGTATTACCAGCACTCTAGGAGGCTGAAGTGGGTGGATTGCTTGAACTCAGGAGTTTGGACCACCCTGAGCAAGAACAAGACCCTATCTCTACTAAAAATAGAAAAATTAGCCCAGAGTTGTTGCAGGCACCAGTAGTTCCATCTACTCAGGAGGCTGAGGTAGGAGGATCACTTGAACAGATGGGAGTTTGAGGTTGCTGTGAGATCTACTGATGTCATAGCACTCTATCCTGGGTCTCACTCTGTCTCGGGGAAAAAAAAGCCACGAGGAAGTAGGCCTCCTGTACTGATACATACATGTGGGGTGTGTTTGGCTATGAAAATTAGGTCGACTTAAGGAGGTGGTCAGTGTAGAGGAGATGGACAACTGTGGAAGTTCTACTGTAGTTACTGGGACCAGAAAGATGATCTTGGAGAAGATTCATGATGAATTAATGGTCTAGAATAAATGACATGTTTATTGTCTTTGTGAACTCACTTTCCATTTATCTTTTTATTTGGATCCAGGTGTAACTAAACACTTAAGGGTAGTCCTTAAAGTTCCTTTGACTTTGCTTATGAAGCAAGAACACATTCATTCCTTTCAGTCATTAATTTTTCCTTTCTTATAATATTTACTTAGCATATTCTTGTGCTATGCATACTAAGGCAATATCTTTTTGTCTTAGGGGCTAAAGATACCAAGATGAAATAAGAAATTAGGAACTCTCCATCTAGTAGGAAAAACAGACGTGGGGAATGGCACCTTAGGCTGAAGGGGGAGTAGTGTTTACAAATGGCACCATTGTGAGAATAGAGATTACTGAAGGGGATGGGGAGTGAGGAGGCAGGGTGACAGGAATCAGATTCTAAAGGATCCTACATTTTTATTGTACTTTATTTTAGAGGATGGGTGTCAAAGGGTGAGGGACAGTTGAAAGTTTTAAGTGTGGAAGTTAATGATCAGATTTGCATTTATAATGCTCAGGTGGTGCCTGTGGCTCAAAAGGATAAGGCTCTGACCCCATATGCTGGAGGTGGCGGGTTCAAACCCAGCCCGGGCCAAAAATTGCAAAAGAAAGAAAGAAGGAAAGACAGATAATGCTGGTGGAAGGATGGATAGAGGGTAAAAGGTTTCTGTTGGGGAGACCATTTAGAAATTTACTATAATGATCAAAAAAATCAGAAGAGGGTTTGAACTAAAACAGTGACAGTGGGGATGGATAGGAGAGATGGAAAGAAGGAAAATATAGATAAGTAAGCTTTTAACCTCCTTTTTTTTTTTT